GTCGACTGAAGAGCGGAGTAGGTATACAACGAAAAATATTCTAGCCGTGGGCCAGGAGATAGCATGAACATACGCTTGAAAATCTATTTGATGATCGGCAGTCTTTTGCGATATTTTCTTTCATTTTATATACACAAGACAATTTTACTGCTTTTATTCAAAACCATTTGTAATTCATTCAGTTGTACGAAATTTGTTTCAACGATCTGCAGAGTAAACTATCTCTACGCATTCAAGAATTGGGGGGAAAAAATTAGAAAACATCTGTTCAACAAATTTAACACAAATTTACTAAGTTTTTACTCCATTTGTTAAAAGGGTTGTAGATTTAGGATGGCAAGTACTTGATTGACAGTATGATATTTTTGTAGTAGGAAGATAGAGTGCAAAAATAACAAAAATAATTCATTTTGGCGGAAATAGTTCTATACTTGTCGTGATAACGTCCTTTTTAGTTATGAAAACTTCTATTTTGGATCTTCATTCACGAATATAAACTATTTGTCATTATAGCAGATCAAAGATTAAACAAGATTGTAATACTGATCGTTTTGTAATATTCAGAGTTTTGATAAGCACGTGCTTTAAGAAATGCATTTCCTTTATTTGCCCTTAACACTGGAGTAATTATTTTGCGGCTATCTCCTCTTTTATTCATTTATTATGCAAGAATCATTCGTGAGCATCATTCACACTGTAAAATTAGTAATAACTCTTAGTTGAGGCTACAAGAGACTGAGAAATCAGCAAAGAAGCTCCTCTTGTAAAGCGAATCGGTTTTCATAATGAGGTTAAATCCATACCAGAGGTATGACCATATCGATACGACAGAACCTGAAATAAAATTTGTGACTAGTAATGCATAATTGAATTGAATAGTACTTAAAACTAATTAAGTAGTAATTCACTGCATGTCCTATGAATTTGTCTTTCCTTATTCGAATTAAATATTGTCAAAAAGTCAGTTTCTACATTGCAGAGTGAGAAAATAGAACATGTGTTAAAGTGGATGTTTCAATTGTTTTCTAAACGTTTTTGATACGTCTCCAGCCGTGCCAGATAAAATTTTACAGAAGCCAATCACAAGGTTATAATAGCAGCCTAATTTTCATATTTTTTTAATAACTCCAGAACGAATGCGATCATGATGATGGTTCGAATTACGAACAGAGTGGCTTAACAGACGGCGTACCACTTTATATCAAAGTCACTTTTATCGTATTATTCATGGACATTTCCTCCATCCTTTCTAACATATTTATCGATATTTTCCATTCCATAATGTCTTACATTTGACTTCTAATACTTCTGGCTCCTTGGAAAGCAGCAAAGTGAGTATAAATTGCAAGGAAAAGTTACGTTAATGTATGGAAATCTATGGATAGAGGCTAAATAGTCTTACCATGATCTTAGTTCAGATTGCAGATATCCACTTGTGACGTCTCAAGTTTAGTTATTAAATAGACTCGATTTCCAGGATTTTTATCAATAATATATTCAAAAATAAGGAAATGATACCTTTAAAAAGGAAAAGTACTAATTCATGCGTCCTTATTCATTTTCTACATTATACATTTTACTTCATTTAATTCCCTTTGTGGGTTAGGTCATCGCATACACGCATGCCAGGATTTGTAGCGTAGATATTTACCTAGCAATGTTAACTCAAATTATGTTAGATTTGTGGGCCACGTTATCGCTGTGTGCGTCATCGTATGCCTACTTGTCTGCTCCCCAGGATTGGGAGGTGCGGCCGTACAAACAATGACCAATCATCAACCTCTGTTTAACCTAATCCCATACAAACAGTGACCAATCATTAACCTCTGTTTGTTTAACACTAGCCTCTGTTTGTTTGACCTAATCCGCCATCCTGATCATGATCGAACCTTTGTTTAACCTAATCCCCCATCCTGATCATCAGTAGCTCCATGTGTGTACACGTGATCCGCAATATACGTCCTGAATAAACGTGCTCCGTGCTACACGTCTGTTTCCTTTATAGCTGGGCAATAGCTTAGCTGGTTCGGGGAGTCTAGCTAGATGTTGGAGAATCTGCCATAGAGATTTCTGAGTTAGTCAGGCTTTACTAAGGTAGCAATCTGCCACAGATTTATTGGTGTGCGATAGACTTACCTCCACGTGGTGCACCCTGGGCAACGTATACTCATGCGACAAAAAAAGTCTATAAACCGGCAATTGAATTCTCACTTCAACTATCATGACCCCACTGTTTATCATATTCGACCAATGCCACAGTACGCACCTCACCTTTCATCTACCTTTGTGTCTGTCTCCTTTACATCTTTAAAACACTCTTCTGTTCAACCCCCCCCCCTTCTCGACTTTTTTTCGACTTGATGTTCCTCTCCCTCTGGGAAGCCTGAAGTCAACTAAAGGGCTAATGATAACTATCATAAAGCCAGCCATTTGATATAAATAAATAAATGTTAGATTTATCTGATGACTATTCGCATTAGCCGATGTCATTTATTTATTCATGCCAAATGGCAGGCGTTTTGATAGTTACCATTACCCCTTTAGCTGACTTCGGACTTCACAGAGGGGAGCAACATCAAAGTGAGAAAAAATTCAAGAGGGCGGAGGAGAAGAGAGATGTAAGGTGAGTACTGTAGAAGCGGTCGACTTTGTCATGGTAGTTAGAAGTCAGAAGTCAACTGCAGGTTTATGGATTTTGCAGTGTGTGAATACGCTGCCCGGGAGGTGCGTCTACCACACACATCTTAGCTGATATCATAATTTGCAATAAACGTGTTCTGTGTTATACGCCCGTTTCTCCTACTGCTCGAAGTAGCATAGTTAATTTTGGGAGACATACTGAATAGGGGATTTGCTATATCGGTTTTTGAGAAAAGTCAAGGCTTTTATTCAAACTAGTTTATCAACTATCTGTTTTTAAAATGGCACAAAATATAACACAACTTTTGATATATTGCACTTTTTTGTTCGTTCGCATGTATAAGTGGTACAAGTAGTTGGGAAATCTAATTACCAGTTGGGTACGAGGGGTGCCGATCCTATCGAACGAATGCGTTCTATCCCACCTCTCTTGCTCAGAGATGTTGCCTGATTTAATGTTGCTAAATTAATAATTTAATATTTTCAAAAAAATGTGATTTTCCAGTAGTGATATTCCAGGAGAAGTGGTAGAACTTGGAGCTTCTTCCAAATTTCTATTAGTCCAATTAGTAATTGTTAACATCTTTGAATAACCCGTTTAGATTTGAACGATATACTTCATTTAATTGACGGTAGAAAGGAAAATAAAATGTAACTGCAGATCGACGGCAATAATGAAAAAGTATTAGAAGATTCTGAAATTTGGAAAATTTGAAATTATAAATAAAATTACCTTACATTCTACATTTGTTGTTGAATATTTCATACAACAGCACATTGTACATGTCTAATTAATAATAATTTTACATGTTCCACTAATTCAATGATCGACTTTTCAGAACATAGCCATTGCAATCATTTGTAGAGCAAGAGATTAAAGAAAATACCTCATTTTGATTCAATTCAATGAGCAAGAAATTAAGTTTTGCCCATCGCCGTCTTATCATTATTTTACGTTACTTCAGCTTAAATAATCGTTACACCAATTATCTATTTAAACACATTATTTCCATTCCTCACTATTTTATTTCCATTTTTAAATAAATTTATATCTGAAATATAGGCACCAAACGCAGTCCTAATTGTGGCTTAATTTGGACAAAATTGGGTGTTGATTCTTGCAGCAAACGTGAATCAATACTGTCAATGTCAGCAAAGTTAAGAATTCTTCTTTGTCTCATTATTTAATCACTCGAAAGTAGTAATAATGAAAAATCGATTAGTTATATGACAGGATAATACTAGATACTATTTATATGTAAAACTAAAATTAAGCTGCAGGTACCAAGTATTTATTCAGGTACCAATAATGAGTCGTTTATAAATTTTAGCAAGTGGGTTTTATTTAGATTAAGGCATATGACCCATTAAGTATCTGAACTGAGAAATTAATTAAGTAGGCAATTTTCTGACATTGGGTTAGCATTTCATGTATTATATCTTTCCTCCCCTTAATTGCAAAATAAAATCTCTAATTAGAGTTGTACAATAATACTTACTTATCGTCTGGAGTAAACATTTACTCAAAAGAAAAATTGGAAATCATTATTGACTTTGAAGTCTACGGTTTTTAAGAGAAAATTTCTAAACACAGAATTTATATAACCATAAATAACAAAACAATATAATAATTATTTATAATTTATAATTTCACTTTTATTTGAGTCTAAGACAAATTGTATCATGAATAACAATTAATGTGACAACAAATTTTCAATTCAAAGCATCAACATTCTAAAAGTGAAGGAAAGTTTACCCGCGGATATGAATTTTGGCATACCCGAGTTTAGTGTTGTGTTGGGTTGAAGATTTTCCTGGTAATTATTTATTTCTGTCAACTAATGAATATAAACTATTTTAATTGGTTTTTTTGTTTTCTTCATTCAATAGATTGTTCCAGACCATACTTTTTACAATGCGTAATCTCTTTCAAAACGCTGGGGTAGTTTGTAATTATTTCACTTTGTATATGAAAAGATTTCTATTCTAAAATTGTTTTTAAATTTAGTCAAAAATCAGAGACAGAAAGTGAGGAATTTTATTACGAGTTTTATGAAATTGAGTTATATTTTACTATAAGACTTATAGTTGTTCTTCGCCGTATTTCAGATCAAGACGAAGGAGGCCAGATAATGTAATAATTGAATTAAGTTAATGCGATAACTAATGAAGATTAAAAATTACTTTATATTTTCTGTTACAATTAAGATAAGAAATCAAATAATTTCCTGTGAACAAAATTTACTTTCTAAATTTTAGGAACATTCGAGGTAACCTCAATGTCTTTTCTGTTTTTTTCGTTTTCTTCTGTTAAATCTATTTGCATCTCGACTGAATATCTATTAAGCATCACCAACAAAATGCTTATTGATTTCTTTTGGAACCATATACTTTCTTTCAGTACCCCAATTGCACCTTTAAATCGGGCCGCCTCATCCAATCCGGAAATTAAGAAAGTTCCCCAACGTCCTACAACACCGTTTGATCCGGAAACAAGAATTAACTTTCCCCATGCCATAGTTATTGCTGATTTTTGTCCACAGCAGGAATATGAACTAGGAGCAAAAGTAGGTTGATTTAATTTTACGTTCTTTTTACTTTTGACTTATTTTATTAAATTTTTGTTTCTATAGAAGGGTACTGTCATAGGCCTAACAGAATGTCGTGATGATAGTTGGTATTATGCATACACTTTCGATCTGAAGCAAGTGGGGTATATTCCTCGCAATTTCCTCAAGGTGATCATCGAACCTCCTCCCCTTTCATCGGAAGTTATAAAACGCAGAAGGCCTAAAACCCTCAAACTTGAGGAATATCGACATTTTGGCACAGCAAGTCAATTGATTCTTATTCTCACAATAGTTGTCATCGGCCATAATCAACTTCATTTGCTCATTTTCATTTAGCAGACTGAGTATGTCCCAAGACAAACTCCCCAATCTCCTGAAACGGTTGAGGTGATAAAATCTTGTATTTTTCTAAGGTTTATATTTTCTCTTATTTCTTTTTTTTATTACTTAAAGTAAGGTCACCTACAATTACCTCTGATTAAGTATTTTTATTCCACTTTTTTCAACACTTAATTAGACTTTACTTTATAGGGTATGAAACTGTGTGAAGACGCCGATCTTTTTCTCTTGGTTACCAAAACTTTTAGGCCGCAATCACATGTTGATATTGGTGCAAGGGTATGTGTCTATTTCATTCCTTTTTGAAAATTTGCCAATTGAAATAATGAGAATGCAGAATGTTGCTGCAGCAAAATTTTTAACAATCAAATCTATCATGCCTGTCAAATTTAGGTTATTTTCTTGCTTGTAGCTTGCCTAGCAGTTATTACAGGTTCATTATCAGCATGACTAAGAGTGACTAATAATTAGGTGCCAGAATTAAATTTTCCTATCATTTTGCTGCCTCTCTTTATCCAAAAAAAGAAAATTGAAAATGATTTCCCAACTGAGTGCACCTGTGTCACATCTGCCAAGTCTGAGGCTACGAGCCCAGCACCCATTGATGCTCATCCAGTAAAATTGATGACCAACCGCAGGTAGTAAAATATGATTTTTTTTTCGTTTCTTTGTGACCAAGTCGTGTGATGAGAGATGATATCCTACGAGAAACTTGCCTTCTTCTATTTCACCTGTCGATCAAAATTATTCATTTTGGTTGGCCGCTCACATCTTTGAACGCGCACCATTGGGGAATTTGTCTCGTGTTCGCCTTTATCACTGTGTCATCGGAACGCATGCTGGATAGCACAATTTAATCACTCTTACCTTATCAAAGCAATTGCGCAACTTGTTTAGCCATACCTTAACGTACTCGTCCTCAAAGCCAGAGGTGCGAGGACTAGTTAATTTATTTGTTGCGATTGACTAAAATTCTGATCTCAATAGGCATTGATGATTTGAATGGTGACTCCAAATCGAAGTGCAACTTGTAGCGTTACTTTGCCTGTTTAACGAATAATTATCATCAAATCCGTTTTCTCAACGTTTTTTTCTGCCACTAAATTAGTAGTGCTTGAATACTATTGGCTGGTAATCTTTATTCCAAATTCTTGAAAAAGCCATTTCTAACATTCATCTTGACTCTCTCTTTCTCTCGCTTAAAATGTTCCCAGGTTAAAATTTCCCTTACCTCAGAAATCAATTGCTCCTGTTGCATACCAAGTAGTAACAATTACACTTCATCTGCACATTTCGGAGTGGTTTATGTCCACTGGCCAACTCAGTGATAATGATCGTAGCTTCCCTTCAATGGGTAGAGATTGACATCGGCAATAATGCAACAACACGAGCATCTGACAGTCAATTCTTTAGTCAATCTTAGTGGTAAAGATCGTAAAAAAGTTTTAAGGGCAGTTTTTCAGGTGGACTCTTTCATTGTGATAACTTTTAACTGTATTGCCTCTTTAATATGACTATCCAGGTGCATTTGACAAATTTCGCTCAATGAGTAAGCATCGACCTTGCGACCTCTGACGCCGAAAACGTCCAACGTCATAATATAAAGTTAGCTACCTCAGCTATATTCACTTTGATTTGAATGACTTGTTTATAACTCGGCTGATTTAATTGCTGGTGCCTATAGGTGGTGTTAGCTCGAATCAATCTTCTAAAATTGGAGGCAACTTCTTGTACTTAAGATGTGCTTTTGAAATAAAATAAGAATTAGAACTGTTGTTTGAATGGCTGGTTGCGCAAATAAAAACAAACATGATCCGATTTTATGAAATTCAGTATCTATTGGAACTATTCTAAAGCCTTCTGAGGTAAGCGTTGATCAAGCCATGTAGACGATTTAAACAAGGACACATTTTAAGGTTTATTCTTTATATTTGTATCAACTCCCCGTCTCAAATCCAAGTCACGTAATATGTCCTAGAAAATTCCCTGAGTGTACAAGGCGAAATGGATCGCCAAGATATTCGCTTTTTTGCCCTCACTCAGTAAGGCATATTTAAATATTCCCCTTCCGGCTGGTTTGGGATTGGCTATTTAGAATCACTGGATGAGTGGTTCTATGCTTTGAATATTCCAGATAGCACAGTAAGTGGCTCTAATCGTGCTTGAGAAATTATTGTCTTTTTGATCAGATTCATAAAAAATGCCCCCCCCCCCCAACTTTTGTTTTCTTAAATGCTCTAGTTAAAGTCGAATATTTACCTTCAAATGTAGGACATAATTTGATGTTTTTTTTGATTGAAATGGCTGAATATCTCCGATACCTCATAAAATGACAAAAAATTGTCTTAGGCCGGCGACATTATGCTATGTTTGGATAGTAAAGTGAATTATGGGGATCCGATTCCAAACAAGTGGATTTACTGCATGAATCTGAGTGGCCGACAAGGAGTCTTCCCGGGGAGCGGGTTAGAGATCCTGGATTCACGATCGAAAATTAATGATTTGCTCCTAAAGGCTCCACATGCCATAGCGAAAACATCAATCAGCAATCCTGCTGATGGCTACGTTCAAATTAGCGTGAGTTCTGCTATATTCTTTTATTCTACGGAAGAGAAAATTTTCCAAGCCTTTTATTGAATTTTAAATATTTTTGTTTAGTTAGGTGAGGCCTTGTACATTGAAAAGCAAGTTGGTGATTCAGTCTTTGGCCGAACGGCAAGTGGAAAGGTGGGCAAACTCGCTCTGAACGATTGCAATGTTATCGTACCTCCATGAACTGCATTAATCAATATCGACTTCCTTCCCTCCCTCCCATTCCACGTTGGGAACTCTGCAGTAAATGTCCATACCTTAATGAAAATAACGACTTTTACCCGTTTCTGTTTATTCGTGTCGGCAGTTAAAGTGGGCACTATTGGGCATATCCTTTTCTTCACGTATTTAGAAGCAAGCCGGCTTATCGAATTTAGGTTTGCTGTTTACTCATTTACCATCTGTATTTCAACCTCTTTTAACTCGAACGAATGTTCCCTGTATCAACATTTTTCAAAGGATAGGCCTTTTTCTGCCTAGTTCCATATGCATTTCATTTCTTACGTAAATGCATCAAAATCACTCAGCTTCTAATGGAAGTGTGGGTGTGTGTGTGTGTGTGTGTGATTTATGAGTCAAATTTAAATTTTCTTATCGATCATCTCCTTTTTTGTTACCCACTTATTGAACGTAACTACCCTGCCATTGCATTGGCTCTCTAGTCCTCTCACAAAGTTCCTCTCTATCGATTCTATCATTTTCCCACCATATTTGATTTATGAGTTCGATGAGCACTCAAGGGTATATGTAGGGGGACATGGAGCCGAAAAATCTGAATAGGAGCACTTAGTATTGCTTGTCACACCATGGTATTCCACTCAGGTTACTCTTTCTGACAATAGTTGCCCAACAAAGTGGGAATTAGTTGCGATGATCCTCCATTATTTTTTTTGTTAAATGAAGAATAATTGTATTGCCTTAGCTTAGATATTTCGTTTTGCATTGTCAACTCATTTTTCAGTCAATCTAGTAAGTAATTCATTTACTGAAAGTTCTATTCTAATAGCCTTAAAATTCCACTTTCGTCTTTAAGACTCGCTCGTAGTGAGAATTCAAGAGTTTGGTATGTGTATTCGAGTTAATCTTTTTATAAGCGCGCCAAGTAAAAATGCGTTTGGGTGAAGTTGCAACCTAGGTGTGGCACACTTGTTGAATTAGTTTGTAGTTTCAAAAGTTTTCGCAATTTTGTGCTGTCGCTCATTTTTTTGCATTGGAACAAAACTTTTTTTTCATCGATTGTTGGCCTATTATTTTGGTGCTCATTTTTTAAACCATTTCTACTTACAAATAGTTGTCATCTCAAATTGAACATAACTCCACGGTTACGTCACACTTTAAAAAATTTGCTTCCAGCACTTTCCAGCTCAACCTTGTACTTTATAGACGCGGCAATAAAGCCAGCGACTACTCTTATCTATTATGATGGGGCTAAATGTAGTTTGTAAAGTGACATAATCGCCAAATTATTGCGAAAAAGCTCATTGAAAAATGCGAAACCCTTCACTTACACCATCTAAACTTCAAATGAGTGAAGAACAAAGACTTCAGGGATACAACGAATGAGCTTTGATGTGGTTGGGTCAACGCACAATGCTGTCCGGTTTTCGGAGTTATACAGTTCACACTTCCTTCAAGTCATGACAGTAACAAACTTTTTAACCCAAAGAATTATTTATTAATACTTGATTCCCATTATAAATGCGTGGAGAAAAAGTTGCCCAGTGTAGAATTCGATATTTAACACTTGTGTGATTGTTCTGATTCCATAATGAATCTGGAACATCACGTTGATAATACAATTGAAAATGACGGGGCAAGAATCTAAAATGACTCTCTAATGTCAATGTTGTTCCATCAGGTTCTGCACAAGGACGAAGTTTTCCTAATTTCTTGCTGTAGTGGGCCTCCTTCCTCGTGGATAGTCATCACGTTGCACTATTTCCTCTTTAAAGCATTTAATACAGTCAAAAACGACCACTCTATATGACACAAGGTCCCCATAAACCTGTTGTTAAGTTTCTATGATTTGAAGAGATTTTTGATATAGTTTAGTTGACAATTTTATGTTAGTTCTGAACTCAAAATGTTTAATTTGGATGGCGGAAAATTGCTGGCTATTTTGAGGTACAGCCTGCCTTGATCCAGACCTTTCAATGAATGATGCTATTAAGGTAGCTCTAAAGACTTGTCTAAACAGTGTAAATCTATTTATTTATTTATTTATATCAAATGGCAGGCGT